GAGTGGTCAGTAACCTATAATAATGTTATACATGGTAAAAATTGGTGCATAAAATGTTCGCATAGAAGGCCTTGTACTCTTGAAGATGCTATAAAAGTTGCACATGATAAAAATGGAGAATGTTTTTCTAAAAAATTTATTAATAGCGAGTCAATATCATGGCGCTGTGCTGTGGGCCATGAATGGAATTCTTATCTCAATAGTGTAAAAAATCATAATACTTGGTGTCCGTATTGTGCAGATAATGCAAAATTCGTTCTCAAAGATGTAAAACAAATCGCAACTAAAAAAGATGGTTTTTGTATTTCTGAAAAATTCATTAATTTAATTGTATTCTCCATTATTATGGCGTTGTGGTGCAGGTCATGGATGGATTGCCCGTTTCTCTGTTGTAAAACATAAAAACACGTGGTGTCCACATTGCAGTAAATATAAACGCGAAAATTTATGTCGCGAAATTGTGTCGGAATATCTTGGACCACCATCTAAGACACGTCGTCCCAATTTCTTAAAAACACCAGAATATTCCACAGGTTTAGAACTTTATATATTTTATCCTGAATATGGTTTTGCAATTGAAGTACAAGGAGTGTAACATGAAAAATATATCAAATTCTTTCATAATGGCGATCCCAATAATTTTATTAAACAGCAAGAGCGGGATCAACTCAAGTAATAATTGTGCGAAGAAAACTGGATTGTTTTAAGATATGTCTGGTATTACGAAGACCCATATATAGTTATTCCAGAGCACCTTCGAGAATTGGGTCTTATTAAGATTAAAACTTTAAATGTTCCATGATTAAGCAATAAAATCTCTTGTGCACACATTGTTAAATATGTTCTCTATTTTATTTTCTGACACACGCATATGCTCAGTTAAAGATAAGCCAGATGTGGGCATTTATAAATACAAAAAAAATAAGAACATGAACCAAGTTCAAATTATTATAGATTGCAGTGCAGTGTCAACAAATAGGTTTATTGTAAAAACTTTAACACACTACATATTCATTATCTTGGCTGACTTTTCAAAACTACCTGCTGAATTTCGTAAAGATCAATAATGAAATTACCACCAGGAATTGCAGGACGAGAAACCGGTGGAACATATCCAACAGCTGGAACAGGTGGGTCATAAAATACATCACTTATCGGAATGTTGATCTGATATTCTGGATTACCCGGAGCATCAAACCCAGTAGGTTGACTACTACCTTTTTGCACAGTCCCAAAATGCCACTATTTTTTAGACATATACATGTAAATATTGAAAAAATAAAATAAACAGAATCTCTAAACAGTTTAACATTACTTTTCTGGTTGGCAATCCCTGTCTCCATAATTTAGCCTAATATTTAAAAAGTTTTTAGAATATCAACTACGAAACTATAATAAAATAGTCAATAGATACATACCTTCATTGATCGATTAAATTGTCCATGTGTATTTCGTGTAGTTCGCAAATCATAAAGCTTTATTCCTAATACACATCTCACGTACTGCTGACTCATCCAAAGTGCACACTTATTTTTCAATCCACGGTAATTTTGACTAACTGCAACCTCACATACTATTCTAGCATGAGAATTCCCCTACAAAAGTACAAGTATTAGAAAATTGTATACAAAACAGATAATGATAATATACACCAAATTCAATGCACCCTTGTGTCGCTTGGGGGAGGTCCAAGATTGAGAGGTCCAGGGTTGGGAGGTCTTGGAACGTATGCCTCATCCGGACGTACTGCAATATCCGGTGCAATCCTAAGTCCATCTGCATTTGGTGAAGGATGAACTATAAAAAGGATAAAAAGGATGTAAGATATTAGAAAATCCATAAAAAGTCAAAGATCAAGCAAGCTTGAATTTCTTACGTGGTTGACCTGAAACGAGTATTGGTGGATTAATAATAATCCCACCATTGGGAACATTTAAATACCTTTGCAATAGTGCAACAACACCTTCATGTTCTTCTGTGCACATATCAATAATAAAAACGTTGCCGTCATTATACTCAAACTTGTACCCAGATTGTTCACGACTTTCAAGAAATTTGTTGTAATTTTTTATCGATATATTGGAACCAATCTTAAAAGGTAAACTGCAATTCATATGAGCTAACAATAAGTGGAACTTAAAGTAATTCTATGATAAATCATATGTTACCTATTCTCGTCTATAGATTCCTTTGGAAATTTTGGAAGTCGGAATTGTTCTTGAAGCTTCTTAGTTAAATCACGAAACATTTTGAAAAAAGTTCGAGTAAAAAATACGACATAGTTTGTAGAAAAGGAGTCCCGAGTTATTACGTTAGTTCTGGGTAAAGATAATCGGGTATCGTCACAAGTCACGAGATATTTGAAAGGTAAATCGGCACGGGATCAAGGAAATCATAATTTAAGGGTCAATCACGCTTCGCGATAGGTAAACATTTAATACAAGCAATTTTAATCACGAAGTAATAGAACTTTATTTTTTGATTCGTAACTATACAGTAACTAAAAAACGAAATTTAACTCTCCTCATTTATAGGTTCCAGTGGTTGACCACTACTACTTCCGCCTACATCAGGCATACTCATTTTGCGATGCAGATCTAATTTGGGTTAGTATAATATTTATTAAATTAGATGCAAGTTCATCTGTCGCATTATCTAAATTATCACCCCCAACATTTTATATTATCACCTGAATCTCCACCTGTATTATTTTGTATTATCTCGATTACTATTTCCGTCTCTTCTACTAGGATATCTTTGGGTGGGTGACTTATACTTAGAATTCATGGCACTTCATAAGTTGGTGGTGGGTACGGTTACGGCGACGTCTTCTGGTGGATGTGTTTGTATTATGATGACTGAAAATTTCTCAGAATCCATTTTATATTCGATGGCATATTAACGTAAGCCAGCCTCTGGCTGATAAATTTTATTAAATTAGTTCCAGAAATTGATGATTGAGTTTTGTTTGATATACTTATCTGGATTTTTAGTAAACTTTGTATAGCAATTATAACTTTCTTTTGATCTATACAAAAAGAACAATTAAGAAAATAGTGATCATTTTTATCTAGACAGCTTTAATCACCCATATGTATGTATTTCTTCACATATCAGACATTTAGCTTCTGAATTAGTATATTTAAAAATATTTTAATGTTATATATTCAAATTAGTATATGATAAGAAAGAAAAATATTTATATATTATATCAAGAATTATACTTTTTTCTTCTGAAAACTTAGAAATCCTAATAATATAGTTATGATTCATATAATTATCTATCTTTTTAATTGTAAGAATTCAGAAATTTTAGAGTTTATTTAGAAATTGAGACCAGTTTCTTTCATATATACTTTATATAAGCTTAAACAAATTTTATTAGTTAAAGAACTTGATAAATCAATTAATTTAGTATGTTATTTATAATAGTTATCAGTTAATATTTTAGATAAATAATTTTGTTATAAAATAGTATTAGAAAATATAATATTATTTGTAAATATAAATTAATTTAAAATTATATAGAAAAAAATTTTTTATAAAATAAATAATTCTAATTTTTTATTTTAATAATTTTTATCTTTTAGAAAAAGTATACTTCATATATTAGTAAAATTAGTATCTTATACTATTATCTCAATTTTATATTTTTTATATTTATTCTTTATATTTTTTCTTTTTGTAATTATGCTTACATACTAAGTTAAGAATTTTTTAATAATTTTATAATAATCAAATTTTTTATTACTAAATTTTTTATATATTAAAATATCAATATAATATTTTATTATAAAAATAATTATGATTATGAGTTAAATTATTCTGTTTTTCAAATAAAATTATTTTAAATTAAAATATAAATAATATATCTGCTTTATTTTTTGAATTAAAAAAGTTAGAAATTAATAATATAATTAAAATTTGAATTAATTATTTTCTATTTAAAAATAATAATAGAAAGAATATCTTAATTTTAAAGTTTTTTATTATTATTTTTATTTATTATATTACTTATCTATTTCTTATTCTGTAAATTTAAAATTTTATTTTTTTTTTCTTTCAATAATATAGTTTTTATAAAAATAAAAAATATAAGAATTATTAATTTCTAATATATATTAAAATCAGATATATAAAATAAAAAGAAATATTAAATATTTTATATATTTTTAAATTGATTATATTATTAAATATTATATTTTTTTAATAATTATTTATATATAAGGGGATGGATATATATCACATCATTATGAAAGAGAGGAAGGGAGGGAGTTCAAAATTTCATGTCTCATATGATTTTATATGGCATGTGATTTTGAATTTTTATTAGCCAATTAGAACAAAGAAATGTCAAAATCTCATGACTTTAAATGACACATGATTTATTAGCCAATTAGAATATAGAAATATATCAGACTATAATCTTTATTCTCTAATTATGAAACTTCTCAAAGCTTCAGGTCATAAAAAATTTGGCTGTTTTCTTACTCCTTTTCTGAAAATATTTCACGACTTTGCAAGACTAGCACTTGTCTAGAATCAACAGAAAAATTATCAATTGAATTAGTAGGTCACTTTTGCTTAGCTGGTTATTCTTATCATCTTGAATGTTGGTTTTTCTTATGTAGTATGACCAATAAAAGTGTTGGAAAATATGTGTTGCAAATAAAATAACAGAGATGAATATAATTACTTGTATTTGAAGGATAGTGAGCATCATATCCAGGTATTTTAACCTTGTCGTAATACTCTAATATATGAAATGGATTCAAGTAATGATCATCTTTTCCTTTTGTCACAGGTGAAAGAAATTCATTATTTTCAGCAAGAAGAATAGCTGTCTCTTCATATCATTTATGTGAGTAACAGGAAGTATTTTTATATTTTTTGATGTCAAGAAAGTATTGACATATTTTGATATGATTTTCTAGCTATTGTCAAGATACAGATTCATTGGTATTTTCTTCAGCATGTTCTGAAAATATGATATTAGCAAAAGGAGAGTTTTTTTGATCAGTGTATTATGCTATAACGGTCTTCTCAAAGATAGGATCCCATTTCTAAAGAGTACACAAGATCTTCCTAACATAATAAAAGTTTTTTATCACAAGCTCTGAATCAATTACTCAGCCTTGAAAATTAAGATGGGAATCATATTTATCGATTAGTAATATTATTTCAGCAAGTTTTCAAGAAAGTATTATCATATTACGCTCAACTGGATTATATGCTGATTAACCAGGAATATGTGTTCTAACTGAGAGATAATCAAGATTAAATGCATGAAATATTCTATAATATTCAAAGATATTTTTCATATGGCAGGGATTTTCATCTGGATCTCCATCAACTAAAAGGATCCAGATAGATTTGATCTGGCTATTGGTTTTCAATATTCTATCAAAGTGGATATCTTGCATCAATGAATTTAAGTCATTCATATGAGTGGCAGAGCTTGTACCAACTTCATATTACAGATAGATAAAAATTGATAGTTGGCTATTACGAAAGATATCATTTATATTGCTTGGGTTTATTAGTAAATAGACTGACAAAATCAACTTTTGCTGCATGTCAATTGGAAAATCATGATCTGGTAATGTAATTAGCTCTCAAGAATTTTGTATAGTTTGAAAGATTCTTCCAACTGCAGGAATATCAAGAGGAATCTTGACTTTGTCATCCTGTAAAATAATTACAGATTGGATAGGAAATAAGGCTGTAAATTATTTAACTCCCTTCACTGAAGCAAGATAATAATATTCATCAGAGTGTTCATTTTTTTCATTTTGTAAAACAGAAGTAATTACGATATTGACTGGGTGGTGGTGGGCTTTTACTGATATTATAGTTGATCAATGTGGCAATAGATAATTATTGAGCATAGTACAAGAAAGATATTCATTGTATTTTGAATTTAGAGCTTCACAGAGATAACTGATAGTTCTAATTTTTATAACTTCTTTTCTTCTTTTTTTATCTGCAGCTTCAAACTCAATATATTCATAGATATGTTTGTGTAATTCTGGATATTAGATCAAAAGAGGTGGGTGATCAGGTGAGTCATATTTTACAACTTCTTGATGCTCTTCCAAGATTTTTGCTTTTTTTGCCCAGCTTTTATTTTGATATCTTGCATGACTAAAGATGATTTCTCAATTAGTTACAGCTTACAGCAGCCAATCAGAGAATTGTGACAGAGTTATAGCTAGTTGTGACTCTCATTATTATGCATAATACTTTAATTTCTTTATTTTTTTAGTTTCATTATATAAAATTTTCTTGAGATTCACAATACAAATTAGAAGACTATACCAAATCTTTAAGTTAGTAGTAGAATTATATATTTATTGAAGCTTAGCAAGCTTTTTATTACTTATATTAATAATTTCTATAGCTTCTTTTTGTGCTAAAGTATTAA